TATGAACCAGAAAATGTCATCCTACTGACAAACTGAGAAGACAAAGCAGTTTGCCTTAGCTGGTCTCTGGGTGGCAAAGTCTTTTTTAAGAATTTATATGTAAAACTGGCTTCATCCAACTTGTGTTTAGGGCTTAAATTTACATTATGTGCACAGGTTAGGGATCCCAAAGTCCTAAACCTACCATAAAAGTGTCCCTGCGTAGAAGTATCTCTAGAACACTTAGTAGATGCTAATTCAATAATCTATAATAGACTCTTCTGATCCCAGACTGCATAAAGTCTCAAAGGTAAAGCCAAGTGAATCTGAACTTAAAATAAGAAGAAATCTTCCATGAGCAAAAATTAACAGATACAACAAAGAATGGGATTAGATGTCTAAAAACCTCAGCTAATAAAACCGCTAGATAGACACTATAAACTACATATTTTCAAAGGGATGAGAGACAATTTTTAAAAATTGGAGACATGAGAAGAAAATATTACTTGAAAGTATTGTAAAATAATTAAATATAACCCATAAGAAAGAAACTTTAAAGCTTACTGAACTAAACAAACCCACTAAGTACCCCAAATAGCAGTGTACACATGGCTGAAGAGAGAAACATAGCAAAGTAAATAGAAATTACTTCAGAGTATAGCATAAAAAAAAGATGGAAAATGAGAGATTTAGATTATGAAAAAGATCTAAAACACAACTAATATTAGTTTCAGAAACATAATTGAAAGAATGAAGAAGACATAATATCTGAGAAGAAAACTGGCTTCAAATTTTACAGAATTAATTATGGCTTTTACTGATTTGGACACAGGAAGTCAAATGAGTTCTAATTAGGATTAAGTAAGAATAGATAATTAGATAAAATGTTGAGAAACTATAGACTACCAAAGACAAAAATAAAATCTTAAACGTTTAGTCTAGATGGAGAAAGACAGATTAATCATAATGAATAAACAATAGAGCAGATTCTCAAATCTTAATAGCAACAATAGAAGATGGAAGATAATTCAAGTCTTCAAAGTACAGAGATAAAAAAATCTATTCAATGTGGAATTCTGTAGCCAGCTAACTGTCACTCAAACTAAAGACAAATGAAATATATTGTCAAACAAGTACATTTAAGAACACATGCCATTTTTTTACTGGGGAAAAAATCTGCTGAAAGATATGCTTTAGAAATATGACATAGAACCAAAACAGAAGGAACAATGTGCAAAGAAACTGGTAAAATGTAGGTTAGTTTAAACAAGTATTGGTTGTGTAACACATTACTAATGAAAATAGTTAATCAGAGGATACAAAGATAAGATTGGAGGTGACATGAGGAATAAAGATAAGGTTGGGGGATGACATAGGTTGGCGATTTATTTCCACACCAAAACTCCCTCCTAAAGTTGCACAAAATACCAAAAAACAATCATTTCAGGACCCTGAAGACTCATCAAAGGCAGTTATCAAATTAAGAAGCATTTATTCTTGAAAAAGTGTTAGGGTTTTGGGTAGGATTGGTAAAAGTCTGAGCCCTTCCTGACTGGGGTTGCTCCCTGTTATGGTTTGGCTCTGGGTCCCCACCCAAGTCTCATCCTGAACTGTACTCCTAAAATTCCTATGTATTGTGGGAGGAACCTGTTGGGAGATAATTGAATCATGAAGGTGGTTTTCCTGCATACTGTTCTCATGGTACAGGTATTGATCGACTTACGACCTATGCAACTTATGACCATTTGACTTTATGACCACAATCGCTAGCCACGACTGCTCCGCTATAGATTTTTGGAAACACTACAACATTTTGATGTGTATCAAGAATATTGCTACCGCCTGGGAGGCTGCGATGACAAAGTACATGAACGGCATCTGGAAAAATTGTGTTAAGCGCTACGTTAATGATTTTGACGGATTTGACAGTGAACATGAACTTGAAACGATTTGGGAAAAAATAGTAAAGCTCGTTAAAGACCTTTCTTTGGAGTGTGAAATGGAAGATGTCGAAGAGTTGCTAGACAAAGAATCTGCAGAAATTACAAACGAAGAGCTAATCAAACTGGAAGAAGAAAGAGTGGCAGAAGAAGAAAGAAGAGAAGCAGAGAAAGAAGAGGAGGAGCCAGAAAGAAAGTTCACCATTAAGGGATTATCAGATGATTTATCTTTACTGAATAAACTTCTTATACATTTTGAAGCAATGGACCCAAACATCGAACGATTTGCAAGGATTGAATGGATGGCACACGATGTGTTTCATCCACATTGTGAAATTTATGAAGAAAAAAAGAAACATACAATTCAGACAAAGCTCACCATGTTTATGAAAAAAACAACTCTGAACCCCAACTGCTGCCTCAGATGACGACATCAACGATCTGCAGCCAAGCACCAGTGGCCAATAAAATGTTTCATACATGTTTATATATTTTGATATGTTTTGCAATTGGGAAAATGTTTCCTATGGTATTTTTTACACCTGTATTTTGTATTTTTGTATGTTTTGCAAATATTAAACCAGTTGTACTGGTAATGCAGTGTTTTACTTAAACCTGACGAATGTAAAAATAAGAAACAAAAAAAATGGTGTAGAGATGATACAAATAGCACAAAATGAACAAAGAAAATTATATAACAATAATGAAAGAAAATTATAAAATATGACTTAAATATTTTTATAACATCATTTCACAGTACTGTACATATAGCCTGCTCAACTTACAACCAAATTGTGTTACGACCGGTCTGTCAGAACCAATCGTGGTCGTAAGTCAAGCACTAGCTGTAGTGATTAAGTCTTACGAGATCTGATCACTTTATCAGGGCTTTTCACTTTTGAATATTCCTCATTTTCTCTTACCACTGCCATGTAAGAAGTGCCTTTCACCTTCTGCCATGATTCTGAGGCCTCCCCAGCCATCTGGAACTGTAAGTCCAATTAAACCTCTTTTTCTTCCCAGCCTTGGGTATGTCCTTATCAGCAGCATGAAAACAGACTAATACACTCCCATCCTTCTTCTCATTCCCAAGCTCACTTGGGAAAAACTAGCTTTACCAGTATGAAGCTAGATGTAAAAACCAGCAGCTTTCCTGTTAAGTCTGGGGGCAGGGGTGGATTTGGTATGGAGCAGAGGGAAGAAATCAGTGGTTTTGGCAGTTAAATATAGCAGAGTGGTTCAGGAAAGAACAGAGAGAATTGCAGGTTTGATAGTCTGAGGTTGCAGTCTCAGTTAAGGCAAGTGGAAGACAAGACAAAAATTTAAATGAGATATCCTGTGGGTCAGTAGGTGCAGCAAACCACCATGGCACATGTATATCTATGTAACAAACCTGCACATTCTGTACATGTATCCTGGAACTCAAAGTAAAATTAGAAAAAAAAAATAGACCCACATGCAAGTCTAGAGTTTCCCAATTACAAGTTCCTATTCTTTCACTGAGAAAAGTAGCTCACTGTGCTTAAACTATTTATGCCAACAATGTGGTTTACTCTGAACAGCTGTTTTCCTTCTGGGAGTCTGGAATTCTGCTACATGTGAATGAGAGTAACCTCTGAAAAATCCTTAGTGCTAAGTTTCTAATGAGACTCTGGTACTGGTAGATGACATTGCACATGTGCTGTCAAAATTTCATGCTAAGGAAGATAAACACATCCTTGTAACTCCACAGGAGAGGACTCTGGGAAGCTTGTGCCTGGTTTCCTCCAGACTTTACCACATACACCTTTTTTCCTTTGCTAATTTTGCTTTGCATCCTTTCACTATAAGTTAAAAACCTGATTACTAAAACAACAACAACAACAACAACAACAAAAGAGAGCTCCTAGAAAGGAGAGAGTCATAGAAAGTTTGAGATAAGTTCTCCGTACATATATGGCCAATTGGAGAGAGTATGACAAAAAGTAAAAATGAAGTGAGACTTGAGTATTAGTTGCAACTTTAAATGCATTTACCCATCCACCCACCCACACATTACTTGGCAGGGAGTGGAAGCCTTACTAGCTTTAACACAATGTCTCTCCAAAATCAAGCTATGCAACAGACACAAAGGAAATCTCTAAAAAGATAGGCTAAAACAACAATAACAACAACACAAAATAAAAGACATCAATGCTGAAAACCGTTGGGCAAAAAGATTATACAGTATAAGTATCAGCCAATTACCAAAACAATAACAATGACAAAAATACTCAAAAATAAAAACCAAATTCAGATCTGCTATAACGTGTAACTAAAGTGTTTAGTTTTCAGTGAAAAATTACTAGACATGTAAGGAAAGGGGAAAATATGGCTC